GAGAGAGAGAGAGAGAGTAGTCGTAGGAATGGGCGCATTCCCAACATGACTGAAAAAATAATCAGAGACAGTACCCGATACGGGTAATTCACACCGAGAATTGCCACGGCACGAAAGATCTGGAATTGTTTATTGGATCTAGTACGGTTGCGGACAAACTGGAAGACTGTTCCGAACATGTGGCAGCAGCGCGGAGGACGGACGCCAATGCTCAAGTTTCGGCTCATTCGACGAGACCCGGCCACACACTGATGAGGCCAAAACTCAACCGGGAGGTAACAATCACGGGGCCGCGCGTTACAGGAGTCCCGTTTCACGGGCCGTTAATTGTCATAGGTGTGCAATGGCATGGTAACTGCATCCTATAAATACTGCAATTGTCTGTGTAATCGAATTACCCATATCTGATGCTGCCTCTGATGCTGGGTTCAAGAATGAATCCAAAACATCCTACAAATAAAGTTCTTGTTCCAGCGGCCGCATTCACTCCTTCTCGTATAAGCACAGTCAATTTAGGTAAGCCGTTTCTCTCCGGAAAGTATACAACCATATAAACAAATGGATACACAAATTATTCAACTGTGGCCTTCTTGCCAGACAATTTTAGCTGTAACTGAAGTTAGTAGAAGTTTTATGCAATTACCACAAGACTACGGGCCTTCTCAATACGACTAGATCCTATTACTCTATAATGCCTTTGGTTGGCTCCAATAAAGGCACAAATAATCGACACGTATCGACAGTGAACTGGCTCAAGGTCTTCATCGGCCAGAAAAACACCAGCTTTAACTATAAACCTACCCCAGATTTCTAAATCCCAATTTGGCATCGCTAGCTAGGAGTTTATTTTCAACTGCTTGCTCTCGAATAAAAGTTTTATCTAGGGTTTCCAACATCCTTTGATGTCTGTCATAATGGACAGTATGCCTTTAAGAACAGTCCCTTCTAGGCGCTTCTCATGAATGCTTTTTATTTTGAATATTTCAAATGTCAAGAAATATTTGTGATGTTATTCTAATGTGTCTTCTATGGATTCATAACCGAAACCACAGTGCACCATACTAAAGACGAACACATTGGAAGCGCACTCTAGCAGACCATCAAAATTAAACCTTCGAAAATGCATACATAAGTCCGAAACAAAAAAAACTCCTCTATCCAAATGAAGATACGAGCAATGGGTTGCACACTATGATGAGTAAGTAAGTCACAATTTCAGCCGGACTACCTTAGGCGAATTTATACACAACCTGTTACTCTGTCTCTCAAGACGCTAACACGAAACCCAAAAGTTGCGGTGTTGAATCATACCGGTTGCATCGTGGGACAGTGTGGCTGATGGCCGTCCTATTAAAATGCGACTCATCACCAGCTTACGAAGAATGACATGGATGAGGGACTCGCATGTTCGCTTGTATTGGCAATGACATGGATCATGTCTGTGCATAGTCATTGGAAAATAGCCTTTTACTTAATAGTCAGAAGTTAAGTCATTATTGTTCGACTGCGAACCTCTCCTATTTCTGAATCGTTTGATGGTTTTTCCCAGTGAAGTATCATCTTTCCGGAACTTTGCTCCTACTCCTTTCTCAATACTGTCCTTCTTCCTTCATAATGATATCCCTATCACTAAAAATTTCAATTTGTTTTATTACATTTGTCAAGTAATAATGTTAATCTTAATCTGGAGATTTGTAGACGCCTGAATTACCCCTCTAATTCTCTATATTGTTCTCATTGTATTTTCCTGTTTTGCTTAGAAAAAAAGCTATGCTGATTTTCAAACGAATTCCCTGAATCGTCTTTTCTGCAACCACTGTTTCTTATGTCCCTTTTGCTGACATCTTGATACAACGACATTTGACAACAATTGCAATTCGAACTGCGGAGGACGTTATCCTCCCATTCAACCTGAATCGGTTGCCGTAAAATATCTCCGTCCTGTACGTCGTGACTTCCGGCACACCTCTTGACGTACACCGGCACATCCGCGTTCCGTACTACCCACTCTGGAAGGAGATCGAAATACAGAAACTGAGACTGCAACTCTTGCAGTTTTATACAAATCGATTCATTATCTCGCCATATATTCACCACTGTTCTGTCCATAGTGAATGCCGAACCTTTTTACGATAAAACTTTAGGAATTATGCTTTTCAAAATGAAGCCATCTCTCTCTCACAAGTACACGCGACAGATCTATGGCGGACAGTCAACTTTACTATCCGACTCCGCAGTTAAATGGTCATTGCTACAACTTCACGCAGCATCGCAGGTGATGTTTCCGACTCTCTGATCTACGTACCCCTGACCGACTTCCAATTGCGCAGACTCGCGTCTAGGCAGTCGCGGGCTACTTGAACACGCCACCCTCCAGTCGGCGCAGCATGGGCCACTAAACAAGACAAACCCCCTCGGGTAATACCACACGCACCGACCAGAGAGAACGAAATCCTATTAAAAGAGATGCTACCACTGCCTCACTTTCTCTCTGGCATGACCGGACGCAGCCAAAACTAGCCCTGGGTTAACCAGCGGCCACTGCTGCCTGAGAAAGCAACGCAGTGAAGCACCCATTCTGGTGCCGCCTGTCCTTTACATGCAAACCGGGATTCGGCCTAATGATTGCATTGCTCAGAGCACAACCACTTTTCGGACCCTACAGTTCTCCCACGACTAATTCAGTTCTGCCGGGAGTGACCTTGACCTTGACATCTACCCTCGATCTGTTCGCAAAACGCGCAACGCCACGCACGCCAAATCAACCTATGTGGTCAAGCCAATCAGGAGGATGCACCAGTACGAGCCTTCCCTGCGACGGAAGGACGAGCTTTCTTTGGTAGACGCTCACGCATCCACGCTTCGACTTTGAACGCGTGCGAATACTGGGTCAGTCCGACGACGGAACTTTACGCCTG